TACTCTTACATGTAAAAAAATCAAAGGTCATCTAAAGAAACATATTCTGCTGCTCAGGGATGAATAATCCTGAGCTTGGAATACACTTGGAATACACTTTCTAATTTTTCAGTAAGACATGAAAGTGCTACTACTGCATGAAAACACAAGGGATGTAGCCATCTATGATTAGCATCAGGCATATGTCTTGTCAAAATCTGACATGCTAGTTTGTGGCAAACTTGTCACGATCAATGTCAACACATGACTTCTTTTACTACTGACAGACCTGAAAACTTTTCTGTTAAGATGATGAGTGGCTATCTTACATTTGCCCTTGCCTGACCGAGAAAAACCGTTAGGTACGTATAGACCAGGTACTGTTTCTCTTCATTTTGATAGCCTGATTGCACATTTTTATATTGATGAGCTATAACACCTTTGATCGATATAACACCTTTGACATCAACAACCGTTGTTCATGCCTCCTTTATAACTCCATATCCTGCTCTACATGTATCTATATTCCCTATCTGAAGGGAGTATGAGATGACAGCTGCTATAACAAGCTAAATGAAGGTTTTTTTCAGTCTTCCCTTTATCAACCATTGCTGTGTTTCTGTGTTACATGCTTTTTGTTATACATCTGCATTCATATTTATGTCACTCTGATTATTGTCCACTCAAAACCCTTAAGAAGTGTTACCAGTGAAGATAAAATAAAATAACCAGTATTAATTTAAAATCATAGCTGTCAGTCCTACATCACTGCACTGTGCTTCTTCCAAAGGCAGCTACATAATTATAGGTACTTGGGTACATATAGGAACATGGAGGTTTCTATGGCAATTATTGAAACGTGTGTAAGGAAAAAGTCATTCTATTTGCAGCATGTGATTTACATTTGTTTCCAAAGAATGTGAACTTGCCCAGGGTGAGCTGTGAATTTTTATTTTCCAGGAAGACACGATCTTTAAGTCTGTACAGGAGGGGGAAACTGAAGAGGGGGGGTCTTGCTAAGGTTGTAAAGACTATTAAAATTTAATACAATTTACCCAAACTACACTTTACTTTACCGTTAAGTAAAGACTTCATGCTTCAAACAAAAGAGCATGAGTTAAAAACCAAACTGACAAACAATGTCCTTGAAGCTACAAGGTAGAGGAACCAGAAAAAAAGCAGCACCAGAAAGGACAAGAGAGAGACATTCACACTGAAGGAGACAGGTCATCAGTAAGACCAATGCACAAGATCAAACATTTGTATTGTCACATATTTTAACTACTGTTTGTTAAAATAATAATGAAGACAAAGTTAGTTCCAGCTTTAATTTAGAGTGTCAAAATAAAAGTCAGAGGGAAGCAAATGTTTTCTGTGGCTTAGCTCATAAAATAAAGCTATAATGTTCTTTTCTTCCCCCAGTTCCCATTACCACAGTAATTCAAACATGTTTTAGGCCTAAATTTACAACAAAACCCAAATCAACTACTTCAAGTTATGAGGACCTGGAAGCAACCTCTGAAACATGGTTTCATATTCACTAAAATTACAGCATTGCCTCTTCTGGAACAAAACTGTACTCATTTCTTATCTGTATCATTGTAAGACTGTCTAGGCCAGGTGCCAAAAATGTCTGAAGTTAAAAATAAGTCTTTGCCCCCTTCATAAATATTTAATATTAAATTGCTAGGAGGGTGGCAGTGGAGGTGTTCTTTACCAGCCACAAAATCCTCCTAACTGAGCAAAATCTGTACTGAAAAACATGTGGCCGTAGCATGTTTGTGGTTCTCCATACACGGAGAACCAGAAGAATAATTTTAACAGTGCAGCTTTGGTATTAGTGTATTTGGCTCACTGCATTTCCATGCTTCCTTGGAATATCTAGAACAGAAAAAGGAAGACTATGACTCCTAAATTAAATTTTAGTGATTGCATCACAGTTCAGTAGAAAGCAAAATGGCGCAAACATGCTTTTCATAATATGTCATCCATTCTGAATGAAATGGAGACTAATAATTAACCCCTTGTTGAAAGGCATGGGACTGGGAAGCAGACATTCCCTCCATGTGAACACGTGACTCTTTTTATCCTGGCCCCAGCAAATTTTCTATTTTGGTCAGAAAATACTTTTTGAAGGCAGAGGAACCAAATGGCTTGAGAAAGAAGTGTTAACATGAAAGGGGTCCCACCAAGTATAATCTAGAAGCTGAGGGCTTTTCAATTCATGGACATTCTGCTGTATTTTTGTCACCTGTTCTGCCATATGTTGTCAGCTGTCATCTCCCTTATCTCCTGCTGCAGCTTGGACCCTTTTTTGATACTTAACTGCCTTCCTTCATTTTACTACCCGACTTTCTCATATTTACTAAAATACAGAACAATCAATGGAAAGATTTCCTGATTTTTTTTTTTTTGTTATAGTTCCAGTCATAAAAAACAAATACTGTCATTCCTGCATCTGTCATTCTTATGAGTACATAGCTGGAAAATAACTTACTGAAGGGAAGTAAAGTTAAAGGCATACAAATTTGATTTAGTTCTGAACATGGTAGCATCAACAGTTACTCAGCTTTGATGGATATAAAGGCTACTGGTGGTGCTCCTCTTCTAAGGGTCTGTTTCCTACACAGACCTTAACCCTACACCATTGTAATACTCTACAACCCACTCAACAGCTTTCATGAATTTTCAGGGTTTGAGAAACACAGCTATTAAATAGCAATTTTCATGGTGTTAAAAGGAAAAGTAAGATCTGAAGGTTGGTTTTGGCTAACATTAAAAGACAGGTTTTAAAAGACTCTGGCTGAGGCATTGCTCTCAATAAATTAAATATAATGACTGGATCTAGTAGAAAGCTGCTTTTTATAGCCAAATTGTATACTTGGCTGGGAGAGGTGGGGAAAAAAAAAAGACGAAGGAAAAAAAAAAGCCTTTACAGTTGCACTTTCCATCATTTACTGAGGAAACCACCAAGATACCACAGACATGAGTATCTCTCTCCATTTTGACTCAGTTACATAAGCATCAAAGCCTGTAAAGGAAATCTCTGTCTTCCTTATAAGAACACATACATACACAGAAAAATTGCCAAAGAGAGCTGCAACTTTGTTTTCAGAAGTGGCAGAATGTTTCCCGTGTAGCACTGGGATGCTGCTTACTCCCCTTGGTATATTTGAGTCTGGACACATCACATAGAATGCAAAGCCCTGCCAGCATAAGAAAGACTAAATATTTCTGTCTGAAGGACCTAATTTATTCTTGACCACATCAAGACGTTTTTCTGTCTAACAGATATACAGTAATCCCTAGATAAAATGAGTCAAGTATTCCTCAAAGTTTTGGGACATGCTAACAGTTCAATAAAGAGTGTGGCCCTTTAAATTTATACACTTCAGCTCCTCACATTTCCTGTGGGGAATATAAATTGCTTCTAAGTCCTTACTATGCTGCATGCCATTCAAATTCTGTTGTTTCAATTCATTATATTAAAAAGTAATACAAACTTCAATTATTCGCTGTAAAAGTACAGATTTAGCTAAACTACACAGAAAATTCAATTCATACCAAAATGGCCACAAAGCTCAAATTAATCTATTTGCAGTCCTCCCATGTCCTTCTCAGCATCTTTTAAAATGTCACTTATTTTATAAAAGATACAGATTTGCTGCATACTGATACGCTCTAACAGACAAGTTCTCTCTGCTTTTAGTTTTGCAGACATTATTTACCCATCCCAAACCACCAATGATTACAGCTAAATTAATATGGGGGTCCATATGAATAAAGGTTACAGGACTAGATTTACAGCTCAAAAGTTTTCACCTTATAAACCTCTCATCTTCAATCCTGTGTTCAAATGGTACTTATGATTTCAAAGAAATTGCAAATCAAATGATTACACGCTACAGGAAATTAGATAAAAGAGAAAGGAACCACTTCAACACCATCAAGAGATTCAATTCAGCTATTATATTAATAGCAAAAAAGCCCCATATTTTGATTGCAGCTTCGGCAGGTATAAAATGACAGGTTTTAGACTCTACTTTTATTGAAGTGCATAGATCCACAAAGCATTTTCAGTCCTACAACATGTTTTAAAGTCTTGTCACCATCCAGCAAAGCATTTGGACAGTGGTTCTTTAATTTCAAGCAGAGGAATAACTGCACTTGTTAAAATATGTTCTAGAGTATGTAGCACCTTTCAGAATAAATTCAAGCACTAGAATTAAGAATGAAATATTGTTGAACTTCTGTAACGCTGAAATCAACACCAAAGCTTCTGCATTTTGAAGCCAAGTGATGAATTTATTCCTCATAACTTGAGTTTTAATTTCTTTATGGAATATAATGTAATTTTTATCTCAACATTCTATTATGTAAAATGGAATGCTTTTTCATATCAGATTAAGATCTTAGAAATATATCCTACTACAGTGATAATGCTGTTCTTTTTGTAAGGAATGTCTTTTTTCCCCCCTCTAATTTAACTAAAATTAAAAAATCTATGCATGTTATAATTGGAAAAATCAGGGCACTAAAAGTGAGCATTTTTATTAGCTATTAAGAACACCTACCACAGCAACTCTGCATTGCACTAACAGCAAAACTGCAGTACACCTGAAGCACATAGTGGGATTATATACATACAAATGTAACATATATATATGTATGTATAAACGCAAACACACACTAATGAAAGCAAGTCACAAGGTTTATGGACAACTTCCCTTGCCGGTCTCTTACCACCCATATATGCTCATCCAAGATATTTTGCAACAATATTTTCCAAATTAACTTGCAATAAGAATTTCAAATATAATTCTTTTCCTTTAATAATAAAATACAATTTTGTATGGAAGAGAGCCCTTCAGCAAACCACCTCAAACAGAATGATTATGTCATAATTATAGCTGAAAACATCTATTCCTAGCAAATGTTTTCACATTAAAGTATTAAAGGGAAATAAATATTTCTTTCTTAGAAAAAACGATGCAGAAGGATGAGCTCAGGAAATGATTTACCTTTCTTGTCATCGAAGTACAGTGTCTGTTGAGCTGGATTTGACCACTGGAGGGAGGTGTTATCATTTTGATCGACCCTGCAGGTCAAATTTGCTGTACCTCCTTCAACAACGGTGACGTTCTGTGTAAGTGGAAACTGCCCTTGGCTGCCTGAGGAGGGAAGGGAGGGATGGAGAACGGAAGAGGGTGAGAGAAGAAAAGAAAGATTTTAAGCTGTAAAACTGAATTTATTGATGCAACTTCCCACAGGTGACAGAGCCTGAATTCAGTGTGTGACCAATAAAAGATACTATGATAAATTGAAAAAAGTTGTATTTGCAATATATTCTCTGCAGCTAAGAAACAGATTAATGAAGAAACAGGGATTTATGCCCCCCTCTTCCCCTCCCTCCCCCCCTCCCCCCGTAAGTCATACTAATTAAATCCAAAGAAATACATTGCAATTTTATCTCCTCAGACACACCAACACATCCAGGCTATGCCTCTGCATAGGGCTCACGTGCTGCATCCCTATACAGATACCTTAGTACAGATGATACAGTTAAATGGCTGTTGAAAACATCCCTGAAAGCGTAACATAAAAATCTGCATCAGCTTTTTAAAATAGAGGTACAAGTCAGTCTTGACTCCCCGTTTCTTCTTATGTTTTTTAATAAATTCTCAGGACAATGCTTTTCCTGCCAGGTTTGGTAAGCTGTTAGAGAGCAAATGTATTGTGAACCTATGCATCCACTGTTTTGCAAATGTATGTGAAACTCAATGCATCCTCTGTTGAGGGAATATAACCTGATCTCATATGAAAATGGAAGTGATGATGTAGTAGGTCTCTTTCACATCTGTGATTCTATCCCAGAGCATTATGAATCACACTAAGTGCTTGCAGAAAAGTCACTGGGAAGTTTTCCAAATACCTCTACACAATAAAGCAGCAGTATCACCCACTTTTTTGAATCACAAGTATTTTCAATGCTGTAGTTAGACTGAAGTGCTTATGTATTGTGAGAACAGCCTTTGACAAATAGCACAAGACATTCTGACAAACAGTACTGTAACAAGGGAGCACAGTAAAAACATGGAAGTAATTTTTAACATGGATGAGGAAAGAAAAGTTTTTCAGTAATAAGAAAGACACATCATTATCTGGAGACGCAGTAATTTCTTCAAGGATACAATGCAAAAGAAAAGCAATACAATAGTCTAAATCAAATACATGCTTCCTTCTTCCCCCCCTTTTATAGAGGTTCTGTTAATACAAGAAGCACTTATGGGCAGGTATTGCTGCTAGCATAAGTATAATGCCTAGATGGACACTCATGTGGAATATGTCTGAAGTGAAAAGTCTCTACAATCCTATAGATGTGAACAAGCTCACAGACATAAGTACATCAAGGAAATTATATATAAAATATCCAGTAATTGTACCAATACAGAATCACATAAAACCTTCACACAAACATCCTATTTTAGTGGCTCTCATCCGAGTTGTTCCCCAAGCTAAGTTAAACTGAGGCATGCCTTTTATATAGAAGTCTAGTATCTCAAATACAGGTTTTCAGATGACCAGAGTAAGAAATTACTAAATAAAGATTAAAAACTGAACTTGTATTTGACCTGCTGATATTGACAAAAATAGAATTCTTGTCAGGTTTTGATAGCTGCCCATTTCCCTATGTAACATATTTTTGATGGCATTAGGCCTGGTACATAAGCTCCTACGTCAATGAAAGCATTAGCGGCTAGATAGTCTAACACTCTCCGCTCTCTTGCTTTAAAATAAATAAAGGATTCCCATAAAAATGTAAAACTGGTCTGATTTTTGTATAAATATCAACTTTCTACAGATGTCTAAATGTCAAAATTTACTATGTACTAAGATTTACTATAAAAGGGTATTTACTATCAACAGGGTAACAGAAATAGTAAACAAAAATAAAGGAATACCGAAAACACCATGGCTAATTCAAATGCTGCAAAAAATGAACACTAAAATCTTATGACATCCTCTATATCTGACACTTCATTAATCAAACCCCACTTCTTGAAAACCACACATTGAGAAATACTTGATGAGTAAAAAATCATAAACAAGGATGGAAAGAAAAAGAACAGCAAAGATATGTCATTTCCTTCCATTTCTCCTCTTTTCATTCCCATGCGTCAAAGAACCTCCAGATACTGCAGAAATTGCTTATCACTTAAATTAGAATTTTAAAAATCCAGAAAAATGCACATAGCCTGTTATTACTTCCACTAAATTACAGGCATCTTGCCAAAGAGATGACCTTCTAAAGAATGAGTTGTGGATACAAGGCAATGCGGGCTAAACCACTTTTTGCATACAAGAAGCATTAAACAGCCTAATGCCAGAGATTAGCACAGTGACATCTGTCATTTACATTACAGACTAGGAATGGAAGATAGTTTAATAAAAAACTGCTGTAATGATTTAGCACCCTATTAACCCATTTGGAAGAACTCCCCAGAATTACCCTATATTCCCTTTCTGATATTTTAGTTCTTATCATGTAGGTGTCAGCATATATGTAGTCTATCATTTGCTAATGATTGTGATGTCACAGACATGTTTAACCAGAAGAGTGGTTAATAGGTGAACTTTTCTGATGAACCATTTAAATGGAAACTGTAGATGATACGATCTGAAAGAGGTCTGAAGAACTTTCTTTTCTCTGGCCATTTTACTGCATGCTGATGTTGTGGAAGTAAGAATTAATCTAGCATATAATAGTGAAATCAAAGCATTCATTCTATCCATTACCCATACAGAAGCTGTGTGGATCTGGAGAAGATGCACACAGCTTCATAGGAAACTCAGAATGGAAAAAGGTAGAGAAAAAAAACGAACCATTTTATCTGGAAATTAGCCAAATTGCAAAGAAGGCAGCCTGTGCGGAACAGAGAAAATAGGCAAAGCAAGACCAGATATTGCACGCCTCATCATGAAGACCAAAATTATTTATAAATGATGGGATAGCTAAGACAAAGAAACATTTATGAGATTTGCTTTTCTGCTGGTATCAGCATCTAACTTGAATTATTGAAATAGGAACTTTGGGACTGGAAGGACTGGAAAAGGTTTTAAAAGCCTATATGAGATAGATGAACACTACAGAAAGCATCCACATTGTGCCGTTTAACACAGCATTACAAATATCAAGTTTTATGCCACTGAAGATTAGATCTGGTTCCTGGGGGACTCACTGTTCTGAGAGATGCTCATGTCTGTCAAACAGGTAGGTAGCATGTGCCTAGAAAGCATGCCGGCAAAGCTGCCAGGCTATGAGCATGCTGGGATGAAGAGCTCAGGCTATCGGAGATGCAGACAAGGTCTTCTCAGACACCTCTGGGTACCACCGTTGAGCTGCAGGGGCAGCAGGCCCCCACTGCAGCACAGCTACCTGTAGCTGGAATCACATCACTCCCCAAGGGATCTGCTTTGGATAAACCCCTTATGCATAGGATAACTTATAACCATTCATACTCCCAGCACTGACTGCGCTGGTTCTAATCCATTTGAATAGTCCCATTAAATCAAGAATGCTTGTTGAACTGCTTTCAATACGAAGGCAAGCCTAAAGGCCATGCCAGACAAAGGTATGTCTAAAGAAATAGTTTCATCATTTCAACAACTAGGTGTTATCACTGTGGTTCTCTAGCATGAAGAGTTCATAATATATAAGTTCCTATTTCTTAATTTTTTTTATCTCTGTGAGCAGAAATCGAACAAGACAATATCATCTAACAGAAGCATTCCGCCTTTACTTAAGAAGCCTAGTAATGGAAAACTTAGTGGCACTTTCAGTAACTTATTTGAGAGAGCAATGGTCATCACTGTTTAAACATGAAAACAGGATTTTACACCTAGTCTGAATGTCTCATTGCAGCACCTAGCATTAACTGGCTAATGTTGCATCTTTCCACTTGTTCTGAAGAGCCCTCTATGATCAAATTTTTCTTTCTTTTGTAGGCACTTAGAGACCATGATCATATCACCCATTAACCTTCTCTTTGACAACCTAAATAAATCGAGCTCTTAAGCCTTTCTGTAGAAACCATATTTTTCTAATCCTTTAATTAGTCTGTGGCTCTTCTCTGTGCCCTCTTTCATTTGCCATTTTCTTTCTGAAGTGTGTTTCCAGACATGGAGACGCCACTGTAGCAGTCACAGGAGAAGATACAAAGATGATGCCACTTCTCCATCAGCACTTCAGGTTCTTTTTTGCACACCTAAATGAATATCCTTGGCCACAGGGTCAGATGGGGACTCTTGTCTGACTGTTAACCACGATGCCTGTGTTTTTTCTCAGACACCACTCCAAAAACAAACCCATTTTATTTCTTGTCCTGTATCTATTTGACGTATGTCCCTATGTTTCACTGCACTTATCTCACTTCAAGCCTACTGACCTGTGCTCTTCCTTACTTCATATAGCCACAGTCTTCATGGCATTCACAGATATTGCTGGCAACAACTGTGCTTCCCAGGTTGTTTCTGAAAACCATCTGAATAGTACAGTACTAACCACTTTTCCATATGCAAACAAATGCACAGAAACACAACTGTTCAGTCATGGGTTCTTCTTTGTCATTACACTTTCACCCTACTTTTTGAAACATTTCTAAGTTGCTTGATGCTTGTAAGGTTGGTTTTGAGTGAGTTTTGGTTATTACTCAAAATGTCACTCTATTTCAAGTCAAAAGCCTTACAGAAGTCAAAAAGATTTTAAGTATTATGGCTCCTTTTTCCAGATATAACTGTAACTCAAGAAGTCATGAAAACATTAAATACATCACATATTTTTATTAATATATATATAAACACATTGAAAATAATTCAATTCCTAACAAAACTTTCTTTTAAAACAATACAAAAAAAATAAATTGGTCTTTATTTCAATAAAACTCCTACATGGTCAATATGAATGAGCAGAAAGGAATAAAGAACATAGCATATGACTTAATAATAATTAATTATACATTAAATTTCAACATGCAGTGAAAACCTCTAAGCCCTTCCCGCATTGCTCATAAGGGCATTACGCTCTTCCCAGATACATCACATTTTAGTGTTCATTGTGCTAGCTGAACAAACCAAGATGTTTTATTTGCCTCTCACAGGATGGCCCCTCCAT